ATGAATGCATATAAACTGATTTACATTCAATCGTTTCCGTTTTTACTCTCATTTCAAATGAGTTATGTTCCGCGAAATACGCGAGAAGACTCAATATTATGGCATATGTTAGTCCCGAAATGACCTAGTTTGTGTCGAGTGGACGTTAAACCCATCTCTCTCTCCAGAAAAGAATATGGCGTCTCCGTTTGACATGACTTTTGGAATATATCTAGCCTCGTTCTTCGTACACGATTCGTGTACCAATGGTAAAATCTGTCTTTTTGTCTTTAATATTGGATATCAGACGCCCATCTTTTCCCGCTTAGATCACAATATCAATGTTGATTTAATTTGACAAATAATTCGTGTTTCAATGTCGAAGACTGGATGATAATGAGTTAAAGACTTAGCTACTTTAAGAGTTATCACCCTCGTTACATGACATGACGCCACGTCGTCCTAATAAGGGTACAATGCCCAATGCAGGAAAGTCTGATGCTTGTTTGGGACGTAGTTTGAACTCTTGCTGAATAACACTCTTGACTAGAAACCAACATGGCGGTGAATATTTCTATTACGTCATGCAGACATGTTTTGTTCATTTTCGGCGATTAAATGTTTAGTTGAAAACACATGGCTTTGGTTTTATTTCTGAAAAATAAAATCTTTAAAAAATAATCTATGCTGGCACCCATATCGTACAACCCGATTGACATTTTCTGAAAACGTCAAAACATAAATAAACATCCAATCATTTATTAGATGACTCAGTGCCCTCTAGCGGCAAAACTTGACTCGGTATTGTGTTTATTTTCTTAACACGTGTGTTCGATGTCGGCAGGAATTTTTAAGTCTTTTTTTGATAATTTTTGTTTGCATTACGCTGTTTGGGCGTTCAAAGGCTTTCTTTGAACGCGAGGAAGGTGTTAAAAGTTTAATATAAGAAAAAAAAAACTCACACCGTTTTTGATCAGTCAGTATGGAGGTTGGCCGTGTCGAGTAAAGTCTCGATTAACAAGACGTAACGTATTCGCCTTACAAAAACTGACGTCTTGGTGATCTAGTGTATTAAGTCTGATTTTTTTTTTTTTTTTTCTCATGGGTTTTGTCACCTTTCCGTGCAAAAGTAAATGTTTATTTAAAAGGAAACATATGCAATTGAGGCTGTATCGTGTATCATATATACGCACTAGTTATAGTGTACTGAAAACAAGCTTGGGAATATTTGTCTAAAACTTAGACGATTTATCTTGTCGAGATTATCCAGTTCAAAACCGAATGATAAAATGAATGGATGGACAAGGTTTAACGCGGGGGTTGGGATGCCCTAGTGGTCTAAAGTGTCGCGCTTCGACCTCTAGCTGGCCGGTCACCTCTTGCTTGCGGTTGTGGTTTCGATCCCCGGTAGCTTGGAGATAGGGGCGTCTTCTCAACCTCGTAGGGTACTCCGGTTTCCTTCCACAGGAAATACCCCTGGGCTTGCGCTAAGAAAATAATAATAAAAAGAGGACAACTTGTCTGCGATATCACTTCGGTGGAAGCGGATGTTAAACACTAAGAAAATCATCAAGTTTAACACCCTACTTTTTTCAGTTCAATCGGGATAATGACCACAAGCATCAGTCATTGTTTTTTTAAGGCGAGCGATCGCTCTTGAGCACCTTCCGCTCACCTGAATGTCGACCAAGGGGAGTTTTTTTCCCCTCCCCTTAAAACTGAAAATCGCTCTCCTTTACATAGTCATTGAGGGTTTATTATCATTTATGAAACCAGGAATGACCCCATTACATGCAGTTATTGATCTTAGAAGCATTTCCCATGCACATAACTAATCACTCTTAATATCAGATCACTCTCCTTAATTTCTAAATCACTCTTCTTATCAAAACTGGGAGAATTTTTTGTGGGGGGGCGATTTTTTTACAATTCGTTGATTGAGGGGTTCTTTTTTTTGGGGGGATCTGCTCTGAAATACAAACAACAACGACTGCAAGCATACATCGTGCTATGAGCTATGAGAGGAATTTCGCCCAGATATCAATTGAATTCCAAGTGTCAATGGTACCTTTACCTGCACGCCAAGGTGTACACAGGGTCTCGGGTTTTTCGTCCCATCCGAATGGCTAGAGGCTATGCCTTAACATGTCCTCCGTCCTGCATAACTGACAAGGGAAAATCTTTAGTTCTATTTAATTTTATGACATATATTGTTTATACAATATAGTATATAAGCTGGAACAGGTTTTCAATAGTGGACGATTTAAAGGACCATTATGTAAGATTAGATAAAGAGCTGATAGTTCTTGCTATATAAATAGATAAAACATAGATAATGAAAAGGTAATATGTTAAAAATTTCAGTAAAATTGCTTCACCTTCAATCGAGTTATAGGCGGTACAATTACAGTATAGCCTAAATTGTCAATGCTACCGTTGTTATGATAATAAACAAAGTCTCAATTATCCATTTTTAATTTAAATCATCAACCGTAAACGTATTTAAATCTACTTAATATCGAAGCCATCCGGTGGCATCGAGAGTTGATTTTATGGTCTCGGTAAGTTAATAAATATCTAATTAAACATGCATTATGCAAGAGCTAAATCTGCCTATTGCAGGTCTTTCTATGGACCTTAAATTTTTTTATCTAAATTATTAATTAGCCGTTAAATGACTTACCAAAACCATAATCAACTCTCGATGGCATAGGGTGCCTTCGATGTGTAGTGTATTTGAATACGTTTTGTGGTGGATGAAATAACCGTACAAATGTGTAATCGAGACTTTGTTTATTATCATAACAATGGTAGTACTGACGATCGCGGCTAGCCTAAAATTGAATATATAGGTTCCTCTCGACACGAACTAGGTTCAATCTTATTTCAATAATTCGCTTGCGCGTTCGGTCTTTAGCAGTGATAGTTAACCGGACAGGCGACCCTACACCTTGTCACGATCAAGCGGGACATCGAAACCACGCCACCTGACTCGATGACAGATCTTGTAGTTGAGACGCCTGGCTGATAGCTTACGGGGTGATCATAACAATATTATGTGAGCGTACATACGACATACGAACATTTGCTGTACCGAAGGTTCTGGCTAAAACTGAACATTTCGACCGTGTAGGTATTTCACAGCCTTTAATAATTTGTGTACGGGAACCTCCCATCAAAACAACACTTAATATGTTTTACAAAGGCATCTTTATTAAAAACATATTTTACAGGGAATTTTCAAAACAAAGTTTACAGTTATAGAGACATGTGTTGTGAGTTTATTTAATTTGTGTACATAGCATTGTCGAAAGTTAACTTGACCGAAGCTTTTGTCTGCCACATTGCACAGGAAAGGGTAGGAATGGGGCTTAACGTCTTGCCAAAGCAATCTGTCGTTCATTTGGAACTAACATGTATGGTTGTGTATCCATATGATCCCATGGGTATTGCGAGGCTTGGGGGGAGAATTGTGCATGGGCATCTTCGTTTCGAAATACTTCACTGAATTCAAAGTATTCAAGCCGGTTTGATTCTTGGATTCTAGTACCACCCAAACCATTAGACAAAACCTTTCTTGTCAGAAGCGCAAGTGTTACCCCTTATCAAAAGCACTAGAGCTACCCATTGTCAAAAGCACAGGAGCTACTCATTGTCTAAAGCAGATGAGCTATCCGTTGTCAGAAGCGTAGGCGGTATCCCTTGTCAGAATCACATGAGCCATCTCTTTCAGAAGCGTAGGCGATATCCCTTGTCAGAAACACAGAGGCTACCTATTGTCAGAAGCGTAGGTGGCATCCCTTGTCAGAAGCACTTGGACTATCCTTTGTCAGACGCGTAGGCGGTATCCCTTATCAGAATCACATTAACCATCCCTTGTCAGAAGCGTAGGCGGTATCCCTTGTCAGAAGCATAGTTGGTATCCCTTGTCAGCATCACAGGAGCCATCCCTTGTCAGAAGCATAGTTGGTATCCCTTGTCGGCATCACAGGAGCCATCCCTTGTCAGAAACGTAGGCGCTATCCCTTGTTAGAAGCACAGGCGACAAGCACCGGAAAACTAACAAATGGGTACCAGGACTAGAATATTGTCCATATATGGATTTTTTCTTCTAGCAATATTTTATTTAGGAATAAAATCAGCTTGTGTAAAACCTCTCTAACAAGATATCATGTTCGTGGGGCCGCCGTGTTCGTCTTCGTTAGTTCGGACCTCGTGGGGTTTTCTCCTACTGCTAAAGACCCCTAAGCGAATTATTGAAATAAAATTGAACCATTTGTTAGTCTCGAAATGACCTAGTTTGTGTTGAGTGGACGTTAAACCCCATCTCCCTCTCACATTAGTTCGGTTGTTGCAGATACGTGGAACAGTAAACCCCATTCCATGTCCGATCTTTACCGTATTCTCCCATTTGTATTTTCAACTTATTTTCAACATAGATTGCTTTAAATCATTGAATTTTTTGTGAAAAACCTCTAAAATTGTATATAAGCTACCTATTAAAATAAATGAATTGTTTTGTTTGTTGGAAATTGGTAAAGGGGGAAATTATTAAAGATACATTGTGGAAGATTAGATAAAGAGCTGGCAGTTCTCACTATAATAATTATAAAATAGATGATGTAAAGGGGATATTCTGAAAATTTCCGTCAAACTGATTCACTCTAAGCTTATTTTAAAATCTCTGTAGCCTCGATTGTCATTGATAGCGCTGTTACGACAATAACAAAATCTCAATTATCCATTTTTGCGTTTAATGGACGTTGAACAGCAGATCGGATTCAAATCGAACGAAAATCGAATAGATAAGATGGCATCGAGAGTTGATTATGGTCTTTTCGTGTTAATAAATGACTAATTAACAGTTTATATAACATTTCAGGCCTAAAGAAATACCTGCAGTGGGCAGATTTACCTCTTGCATAATGCATGTTTAAGCTAAAGAACCCGAGGTCACTTTGGGACAACGTGCCACAAAATCCCATTTCATTTCTAATTGTATATCTGGATATCTGTTTCAGATTGTCAGGATGTGTGGGAGAAAGGTAACAGACAACCAGGTGTGTATGGTATCATGCCGGACAATTCGGCCTTCGTCACTTACGCTTATTGTCAAGATGGTTGGACTTTCCTACAGAGAAGATTTGATGGATCCGTACCATTCAACAAGTAGGTTTAATCACTGCTTCTGAATCAATCACAGAGAGCGAGCGAGAGAGAGAGAGAGAGAGAGAGAGAGAGAGAGACTGGGCTTTAACGTCCACTCGACATAGGCTAGGACATTTGCGGACAGACGACCTTACTCCATGTCATGCTCATGCGGGGAATAGAAACCACGCCACTTGACTCAATGACAGGCCTTATGATCTTACGCACACGCCACAAATCATAAGGTCCGTAGCGGGAGCCAATCAGGCTCAGTGAGTAAGGCTTCTGCTCATTTACCAGGATATACAGCGTTCGCACCCGGTAATGGCCGAGAATGTTCCTCTGTCCAGTCTAACCTACAATCTTGCCAACAATCACGTGCCTTAACCTTCTTTACATCTCAGCGACCTTGACGAAAATTGAGCTGGCCTTAACAAACAGATTTAGCTCTCACTAACCTCATGGGATTTCTATCAGCTCCCCGGCTTCCTCCGATTGTTAAAGACTATTACGTGCAAGCAAATAATAGAAATAAAAACTGGACCATGAGTGGGCGGGCTGACGGGGACCATTTCAATATCCTTCCCATAACTTTGCACGGCGCGGGTTAACAAGGCCCCGAGTTCACAGTGATTGAAAGTTGAGTACATTAAAATAACTAAATGTCTCTAATTAACTCAGCCTCAACCAAAGTCTTCGATATTGAAAACACGAATTATTTGTCAATTTAAATCAACAATGATGTTATGATCTTACCAGGAAAAGGTGGGCTTCTAATATCCAATATTTCAGACAAAATAAATATTTTACCATTGGTACACAAATCGTGTACCATAATGCGTTTCAGCTCCATTTGTAATATGTGACTCAAAGAACGCGGCTAGACATATTCCACGAGTCATGTCAAACGGTGACGTATATTCTTATCTGGACAGCATGCGCAATAAATACTATCGGTGTAGACTTGAATAACCAGACACTAGAGACTGTCATTCGATTGAGACTTCTGGCGTATTTCGCCGAACAAATCGTGTACCATAATGCGTTTCAGCTCCATTTGTAATATGTGACTCAAAGAACGCGGCTAGACATATTCCACGGGTCATGTCAAACGGTGACGTATATTCTTATCTGGACAGCATGCGCAATAAATACTATCGGTGTAGACACTAGAGACTGTCATTCGATTGAGACTTCTGGCGTATTTCGCCGAACATAACTGATTTGAAATTAGAGTAAAAACGGAAACGACTGAATGTAAATCAGTTTATATACATTCATATTACATTAATATATCCGTTGCGACCCAATTGTGTCAATTTCTAGGTCCCAAATATTAGCCATTTATCTCCTTCAAGTCTGAGAATGCTTTGTGAACACCTGTCCTTTTCAGTGGTGAAATATGTTAATGTTTATATGAAATGAAAATATATTTTGTATTTTCAGGAAATACAACGACTATGTCAAGGGCTTTGGCAACTTTTCCAGCGAGTTCTGGTTGGGTCTAGAAAACATGCACGCGCTGACGACACAGGAATCCTACACTCTTCGGGTCGACATGGAAACTTCCAATACTAAATTTTTCTACGCCATGTACGACGAATTCAGGATCCTGAACGAAACGCAGGGTTATAGCTTGGAATATGGCAACATGACAGCCGGTAACCTTGGTGACGGATTATATACTGCTAAAGGGAGACCATTCAGTACATATGACCGCGACCGTGACAGCTGGAGCTATGGCAACTGTGCGCAATTTTATCATAGTGGTTTCTGGTTGAATAGGTGTGGCACCGATCTGAATAGAATTCCTAAATTGCAGAAATACGGGGGAATGAGGTGGGACCGACAAATTGTTGTTTCATCTTTAATGCGAATAAAACCAACTCGTGCGGTAACTGGTAACGAATATAAACTAGTGCCATGAAGCTAGGATGTTTTAGATGAAATCGGAATGGTGTTACAGCTTATTTTTGTTAATGTAAAATGCGTCCATGTATATATGTAGTTATATTTGAAACATTTATCTTCCAAGAGAACTATTTTGGGATACGTCTACATCGGTGAAAATAAAAGTAGAGGTCAGGGTATTGTGGACAGAACAAAAATGTGTTTTTCCTTATGACCAACGCCATAATATCACGTAACCATAAAATCACAGCTTACTTAGCACGTTGGTAACACTTCGAAACATCAAAACAGCTTTTAATTTGTATATGTTCATTTATTTATAACATATTTTAAGATCCTCAGAAAGCATTTCAAATTAAAGAAATATATTTTATGCATTTATATCCGAAATTTTCGTTTTTTTATAAACAATTTAGTGCTGCTCCGGACTCTAGAGCTAAATGGTATTAATAATTAACGTATGATATACTGTTAACGTTTACATCTAGAATAAACCAGTTTTATTAACTTATATTCTTGACATATTTATAAATATTTAACACTTAATATTGCTGATTACATTACCCATTAAAGATACGTTCCCAGAAAACTATTTATCGGGTGGTTATTTTATTTCCAATAATTCTATGGCAATTTTGGTGTTCATTGAAGGTAGAAATATCCAACCTTACTAGAAAAATACTGGATTCCCTGAGAAACATTCACGGAACGTATATAGGACAAAAATGTAAGGGTTCCCCTAATCGACAGCCTGACCATTAGGAATATCTGCACGGGTGACGTCAAAGGTTGCACGCGGAGATTGATGTGTACATGTTGATAAACTCTATGAAGAGTTAGACATACAACGCGTTCTGAGATAAAAAAAAAATCATGGAAAAAGACGCGGGCAGTGGATAATCCGAGAAGTTAATTAGGATTCGATATTTGTAATAAATAGTCAGCGATTAAAGACAACGTCGTCATGTGTATGCAATGAATTCTCCACTGAATTGCACCCGTTGCTAGGTACCGAGAGAGGTAAGTCACGTGACACAAACATGGCCTATTTTGATCGATTTTTTATAGCAGGGGTATTCCGTGGCAATTACAATGTTTTGCGAAGGATTTGAAGCACAATTATGATAAATTAATTAGTCCATATCATCAAATCACCCAGTTTCCACATGGGAATGTATCTTTAAAATAATTGTGAAATGAAATGAAATGGGGTTTAACGTCCTACCGTTCTACTCCGACTGGGCTAATGAAGACAGGCATACGCCTTACAATGTGCTATGAGGGGATTTTTTACGTGCACGCCAATTGTGTACACGGGATCTCCATTTGTCCTCCCATCCGAACGACTAGACAGATGTCCTTGTCAGGGCCTCCATCCTGCACCACTTACAAGGGGAAAATGCGCTGGAAAATCCCGATGAATTTTTTCGGTCAACACCGGGAGCCAACCCGCGACCATAATAAATTGTACTTCCACATTACTTATAAGTAATTAAGGGGGAGGGGTTGGATGGCCGAATGGTTAGCATGTGCGTGCTGTATCATAAGACCTGTCATTGACTCAACTGGCGTGGTTTCGAAGCCCCAGTTGTACGTGACAAGGAGTAGGGTCGCCTGTCCGGCCTCGTGGGTTTTCTCCGGGTCCTTCGGTTTCCTCCTACTGCTAAAGTCCCTACGCGCAAGCGAATTATTGAAATAAAATTAAACCATATGCAAGTCCCGAAATGACGTAGTCTGTGCCGTGTGGACATTAAACCCCATCTCTCTCTCTCTCTCTCTCTCTCTCTCTCCAGATAAGAATATGGCGTCTCAGTTTGACATGACTTTTGGAATATGTCTAGCCTCGTTCTTCGTACACGATTCGTGTACCAATTGTAAAATCTCTCTCTCTCTCTCTCTCTCTCTCTCTCTCTCTCTCAGTAATTAATTACATTACTTATTTGAACATTACTTAACTACACTTATTCATTAACCTAATTAAATACCCCTACTACTTATTGTATTACATGTACCGATATCCTTAAATTACGGATACCCACCAGTAAACTTAATAATAATTCATACATTTATTTGAGATTTAAATAACGAGTACCTATCCCCTTAAATAACGAGCACCTAAGATTAACGTCCACTCGACACAATCTAGGCCATTTCGAAACAAACATGGTTCAATTTTAGTTCAGAAACCGGAGGACCAGGAGAAAAACCATCTAGTTGGACAAGTAGGTGAAATAAAATGAAATGAGGTTTAACGTCCTACTGTTCGGCTCCGACCTGGGCTAATGAAGACGGGCATACGCCGTACAGTGAGCTATGAGGGCCATTTTGCCCGGACAGCGGCACAACGACGTACTCATATCGAATTCCAACTGTCAAGGGATCTTTTACGTGCACGCTAATGTGTACACATGACCTCGGTTTTCGTCCCATCCGAACGACCAGACAGCTGTCCTTGTCAGGACCTCCGTCCTGCATCACTGACAAGGGGGAACCACACTGGAAAATCTGGATGAACTTTCTCGGTCAATGCAAGGATCAAACACCCGACATCCAGGCTAGCGAGCCAGCGTCTTAGCCACCCACCGTGACGGTCAAACCATTAATATTCATTACTTTTAGTTAATCAAAAACATAATTGACAATTGACCACAATACTTTCATAAATGGTCAAAAGGAAAAAAATAAATTAGCTAATTAATGAATTTTGACGCATCACGGACTTCTAGTACTGGGGTGGGTTGGTTGACCGAGTTGTTTAACGTACGGTATGAGCTGTAGATGATTTTGGTTAATAGTTGCTTTATCGTTCGTAAAATCATTGGCATGCACGTAATATATAATTATGTTAATGTTATATTAGGAGCAGAAAAGTAGGACGTTAAACCCCATTTCATTTCATTTCTAACGCATTTTACCTGTAAATAGTTCTTATTTCGTGTCTGTCCCGTGTATACATTGGCGTGCACGTATAAGATCCCTTAACAGTTGAAATTCGATATAAGATTAGGCCATAGTGCCGCTGCCCGGGTAAAATTTCCTTCATAGCACACTGTACGGCATATGCTCGTCTTCATTAGCCCAGTAGGAGCAGAACAATAGGACGTTAAACCCCATTTCATTTCGTTTCATTTATTTCTCGTCTAATATCCATTCCTACTTTTCAGTGAAAAATAACCTCTCCGACTTTGTGATTTCACCCTTCCTACTTAGTGCTGGCACGATATATTCGCGTATTAAATCGCGAAACTCCGAACGCGATGTGGGTTGCCGAATAGTTAGCGTGTGCGCGCTGCATCATAAGGTCTGTCATTGAGTCAACTGGCGTGATTTCGATTGCCCGGTTGTAGAGTTGCCCGTCCAACCTCGTGGGTTTTCTCCGGGTCCTTCGGTTTCCTCCCACTGCTAAAGACCCTAAGTGACCTAGTTTGTGTCTTTTATGGGTTTTTTTTCTGTCGCTTCAGTAAGTAACTTGTTCCTCTTAATTATCCACGGGGCCACGTCACACATCATCTAAAGGTACACAATCACTCTTAAATTGTTTTGGTCCTTATATTGATCGACATCAAGTTTTATTTCTTCAACATCGGCAGGACTAAAAATATCAATTATTCATTTATCCTGTTGTTTTCTTGGTAAATATTGACCTGATTATGAATCGTGATACGAATCGTATCGTAGCACCTAAATTGCAATACGTATCGTATCGTGAATGCGGTAGCAATACCTAACAATACCTTCCTTCCGCTTCAAGCTGTCTACGGGTATCTAGAGTCCATGAACTGCCATTTCCAGGACTTTGGGGGACAATTAAGCAGCATTCTGATGGTCAGAAAACACTTATAACATCAGTAAAATTGAGTACTAGCATTGAAATTCATGTTATTTATTAAGAATTTTGCAAGAACGTACAAAGTACTGTGAATCTGTGATAACCTATCAAAGTTATATAATTACATCATTTACATAGACCCATATCTTCGATGTATTGTGGTGAATATACATAAATTAGCAAAGACGTGACTATGTCCTCATATTTTCATCAGATGTCCACGCGAGGTCAAGTTTGGCCATCAATCAGTGATTTTGTCAATGTCGATCGTGTCCGTCATTGAGTCGTTCCTGTTCCATTACTGAACGCATAACAGATTTTTACTAATTTGAGCTTTGAAAGAGAAATGAAACGTATACACAGATATATTCATACATTTATTTGGGATTTAAATTGAATTGGGAATACCTACCATTATCCCCTTAAATAACGAGCACCCACCATTATCTCCTTAAATAACGAAATAACGAGTACCTACCATTATCCCCTTAAATAACGAGCACCCACCATTAACGCCCACTCGACACAATCTAGGCCATTTCGAGACAAACATATGGTTCAATTTTAGTTCAGAAACCGGAGGACCAGGAGAAAACCCATCCAGTTGGACAGCTTACCATGTAGGTGAAATGATATGAAATGGGGTTTAACGTCCTACTGTTCCGCTCCGACCTGGGCTATAAGACCGTAAAGTGTGCTATGAGGGAAATTTTGCCCGGACAGCGGCACTACGGCCTACTCATATCGAATTCCAACTGTCAAGGGATTCTTTACGTGCACGCTAATGTGTACACGGGACCTCGGTTTTTAATCCCATCCGATCGATTAGACAGCTGTCCTTGTCAGGCCCTCCGTCCTGCATCACTGACGAGGAGGAACCACGCCGGAAAATCTGGATGACATTTCTCGGCCAATGCAGGGATTATACACCGACCTCCAGGCTAGCGGGGGTGGGGGGTGGATGGCTGAATGGTTAGCGTGCGTGCGCTGTATCATAAAGTCTGTCATTGAGTCGACTGGCGTGGTTTCGATCCCTCGTTGGTTTTCTCCGGGTCCTCCGATTTTCTCCCACTGCTAAAGACCCCTACGCGCAAGCGAATTATTGAAATAAAATTAAACCATATGTTAGTCCCGAAATGACCTAGTTTGTGTCGAGTGGACGTTAAACCCATCTCTCTCTCTCTCGCTCGCTCTCTCGCTCTCTCTCTCTCTCTCTCTCTCCAGGCTAGCGAGCCAGCGTCTTACCCACATAGCCACCGTACCGTGACGGTCAAATCATTAATATTCATTACGTTTAGTTAATTAAAAACATAATTGATAATTGACGACAATACTTTCATAAATGGTCCAAAGGAAAAAATAAATTAGCTAATTAATAAATTTTGACGCATCAAGGACTTTTGCACTACCGAGTTGTTTAACGGATCCCTGCCTTGACCGAGAAAGTTCATCGAGATATTCCGGTGATGTAGGACAGAGGGCCTGGCACGGGACAACGTATAGTCATTCGGATGGGACGAAAAACCGAGGTCCCGTGAACACATTGGCATGCACGTAAAAGAACCCTTGACAGCTGGAATTCAAAATAAGAGTTGGTCGAGAAGACGCTGTCCGGGCTAAATTCCCCTCTTACCACACTGTATGATATATGCCCATCTTCACTATCCTAGTAGGAGCAG